TTTAAAAACGAGGATAAAGAGGATGATGGACAATAAATATCGAACTTTACATTTTTTAAAATGAGAATGTGAGCCAGTTTGGTGTAGTGGTGAAGGCTAGAAACCGGGAGACCGGGAGTGCTAGTTCTGCCCATAGATATGAAGCCAGCTGGGTGATTTAGATTCTCTCAAAGACAATGCAAATTGCTTCTGAAAATCTCGCCAAGAAAACTGCAGGAACTTCTCCAAGTCAGTCTTCGAGAATCCAATATGATTGAACAGAAGAAAAAAGAACGATGAAGATGACTGACGTATTTTATTTTATAAATTTCTATAGTTGTATCCCTCTCCTGGGTGCATACATTGTTTTTAATCGGTATTTAGCACTGAACAAGGACCAAGTTTTTAAAAAGCTGATCTTCATCTGCATTTCCCATGGATACATTTTCTTGGCTTTTCTTTGAATTCTCTGCACATCACCTTTGCCCTAAACCTGAGTTGACTTTTCTTCTTTCTCCTGCAGTTCCCAAGAATTGGCCCAGGAGATCAAAGCTTTCCTCAGTGGCGTCGACCCCGTTCATGGGAACAAACTCACCATCAAGGAACACGCGCGTTGCGCCATTTTACTGCTGCGCAACTTACCTCCTGCTCGCAGTGCTGTGTTGGAGCACCTCCGCAGTGTCTTCGATGAATACGTCTGCACCTACCTGTTGGAACTGGAGGCCGGCGACGGTGGGATGGGGGGCCTCCGCTCCCAGGGTCCCAACTTGGATGACGTGGTGTCGGAGATCCAAACCGTGTTGTCCGAGTTTGTCCGCATGAATCCCAAAGCTTGGGCTGCCCTCGTTTCCTCCTGGTCCATCGACCTGATGGGGCAGCTGAGTAGCAAGTACGCCGGGCGGCACGACGTACCCCATGCTAGCAGCCTGAACGAGTTGCTGCAGTTATGGATGTCCTGCAAAGCCACGCGGGTCTTGATGGAGATTTACACCCAGTGCCTCTCCTCCATGATCAATAGCTGCCCAGACGCTTGCGTCGATGCCCTCTTGGACACCTCTGTCCAGCACTCGCCTCACTTCGATTGGGTGGTGGCCCATATCGGCTCCTCCTTCCCCAACACCATCATCAACCGAGTCCTCTCCTGCGGGCTGAAGGATTTTTGCGTGCACGGGACAGCTTCGTCGGATCTCCTCCTTTTCCCCAGCTCCACAGCAGCCGATAAGCGGGTTCCCAAGATCGCCTCGGTGGTCGGGATCCTTGGCCACTTGGCCTCTCGCCACTCGGAAAGCATCAAGCAGGAGTTGCTGAGAATGTTCCACAGGAGCCTGGGCCCCACCCGTGACCAGCAGCAGAAGGCTACGGTCCCTTTCCTGCTACAGCTGGCGGTCATGTCCCCCACGCTGCTGAGCACCATCTCTGCCGAGCTGGTGGACTCGCTCAAGCCCAGCGTCCTCAACCAGCTGCACCAGCACTTTGTGGCGCTGCCCCGAGAGGAGCTAGAGAACATGGTCAGCATCGTGGTGCACCTCATCTGCCAGACGTCTGGAGGCGCCTACCGTACCTTGCAGTTCCTCGTCAACACCGCCATGCCCGCCTCGGTCATCACCACCCCTGGCCTGGCGGTCCACGACAGCGTGCGGGAGGCCTGTGACCGGGTGATCCAGCTGCTGCTCCTCAACTTGCAGAAGCTGGTCTACAACCGAGGTTTGGCCAGCTTGGCGGAGGCCCCTCCCCGCGCGGTGCCGTTCTTGGACGACCTGAAGAACCACATGCAGGAGCTTTGCACGGAGACGCTGAAGCTGGAGAGGAAGAGGTTTCTCTGGCTGCATCAGCTGCTCGTCCTGCTCTCGGTCTACTCTACCCCCAGCTGTGCCAGCGAGGCCCTCTTCTACCTGCTGACCCTGGCCAAGAGCCAGGAGGAGCTCAGCCTCGCGACCCAACTCTACACTGTCCTCAGCTCTTGCATGACCGACCTGCTGCCCGCCCTGGTGAAGAAGTCCGTGCGCCAGCTCCATGCTGGGTTTCTCTCCGAGCAGCACATGGCTCAGCTCTTCCAGAATCTGGCCTTGATCATGCAGTGGGAAGGGGAGAGCTCGGCCTCCATGGGCCACCAGCTGGGCCAGGCCGTCTCCTTCCACATCTACGACTTTGGGCAGCTGCTGCTGCACAGCAACCCAGAGGTGGCCCAAGCAGCCGCTCTGCTGCTCTCCGTCTGCCCCATGCCCAAGGCAATTCGGCCGGCCCATTTGCTCTTCCTCGTCCGCTCGTCCGTGCATCACTTCTTCTCGGTTTTGAGGGACAAGTCTCCGGCCGGCATCAGCTACGGAAGCCGGCTTCTTTGCGGGCTGAGCGGTGCGTCGGCCACAGCCAGCAAGGCCATCCTGCAGTACCTGGTGGAAGGCGCCTTGCACCAGGGCAACGCTGAGCTTTTTGGGGGCACGGCGGAGCCCCCCGCTGCCAGGAACAACATCACACTGGAGGCCACCAAGCTGTCCCTCCTGGACATCAACCGGCGCTTCATGGCAGCCGTGAACTTCTCCGGCAGCGTCTGGTCGGTCTTCCACGCAGGAGTGATCGGCAGGGGCCTGAAACCGCCCCAGGCATCGCATCGGCAAGAACCCGAGGAGATCTCCCACAACATCCAGGTTTTTTTGGGCCTCTTGCTGAGGTGCTGCGGGGCAGGACGCTCGGTACCCCCTGAGCTGCCCCAGGGCAATGCCATCAACCCCGAGGCGGCCAAGACGGTGGCGGTGGTGTTAGTGGAGACGGTGTGCCCGGACGTGACCAACAGCGAGCTGGCTTGGCCTCCCGAGGAACACACGCACAACACCGTGGAGCGCGACATCCGGATCGGACGCTCCTTCCGCGACAACCCTTTGCTTTTCGAGCTCTTGAAGTTGGTGGCGGTCGGGAGGCCCGCCTTGTGTTACTGCTCGGTGCTGCTCCGGGGTCTGATGGCCACGCTGATGGCTCACTGGGAGGCCTGCCGGGAGAACGACACCACCAACTTCCCCTGGGCCCTGCAGGCCTCCTGCGCGCTGGTGGCCTGCATGGGAGAAGGCCACCTTCTTCCCCCTGTCCTGAGCAACATGCACGAGATCTTTGACCAGCTGGCCCCCTTTGAGGTCCACCTGCTCCTCCTCAGCGTCTGGGACTACATGAGGGACAACAGCCCCCTGCCCCAAAAATTCAGCTTCAATGCCAGCACAGGGCTCTTCTTCCGGGACTTTTCGCGAGACACCGACGCGGGCAAATACCTCTACGTCTTACACAGCGTCGTGCACAAGAACATCGACCGGCTGGGTCTGCTTTCAGGGCGCTTCCATTCTTAGGGGGCTCGGAATGTGGGTTTGGGGAGGACCTTTTGGATTTGGGAGTGGGGGGGGGGGGGGGGGAAATGGGGGCTCTTCCGTGGATTGGAATTTGGAGAGAAGGGCCACGAGAGGTTCTCGCGCAGTTTGCTTTGACGTGCAAACAGGAACAGACTTTGGATGGAGAAAAGATGATTTATTTTGGGGTTCTCTCCCTCTTCTTGGGTTTTAACTGGTTCAACTTGCAGTTAAGGAAGGACTAACTAAGGGAAGGTTGGAAATAACATGAATAGATAGAACATTTGCATTTTGTTTTCTTGCCCTTCCTCTTTCTCTTCTTCCCTTATCATCTCCTCCTCCTCTTCTTCTTCTTCTTCTTCTTCTTCTTCTTCTTCTTCTTCTTCCTCTTCCTCTTCCTCTTCCTCTTCTTCCTCCTCCTCCTCCTCTCGTCTTCTTTTTCTTCTCCTCCCCCTCCCCCTCTTCTTCTTTTCTTTTTCTTTTCCTCCTCCCCCCTTCTTCTTTTCTTTCTCATCCTCCCTTCTTCTACTTCCTCCTCTTTTCCCTTCTTCTCCTCCCCTTCTTTCTCCTCCTCTATTCCTTTTTCTCCTCCTCCTCCTCCTCCTCCTCCTCCTCCTGTCCTTCCTTCTCCTCTTCCTCTTTTCATTCCTTACCTTTTCCCTATGCTCCTCCTTTCTTTCCTCCTCTTCTGTTCCTCGGCTCTTCCTCTTCCACTCATCCCCTCCACCTCCACCGCCTGGCCTTCCTTTCCTCTCCTCCTCCTCTTTGCCTTCATTCTCTACTTTTTAATGCACACAAGAGTTTCTTTATTGAACACTCGCTCCCACACAGACAAAAAATTTTTAACAAAGAAGTTTCTTCACAAAGACTTTTTTATGACAGTAAATATAGCCACATCATCAGTATTGCGTGGCAGGCGGAGCTGGAGGGACTTGATTGGAGATTCCTCATCTTCATCCTTCAGTTGATTCCGAGTACAAATAAGTAAATCAATAAAAGCGGGAACTCACAGCTCTTTGCATTCTCTTCATAATTAGAGCAGTGGGACAATACTTAATTTTCTTTCTCTGCAAGAGTTGGGACGGACTTTGTGTACACAAGACTGAAACGGATGATTCATGGATCTGGGGGACATTAAAAAAAAAAGGTTAAAAACAGAAGGAAAAGAATAGGATGTCAGTTACTCAATAGAAGGGAGGAAGTCAGAATTTCGTGGTCTTATTTCGTAACTTTTTTTCTTATTTTTTTAAAAATAACTTTTATTGTTGCTGTAAAATTTTAATGATAATAAAAAAAAGTGAGCAAACCAGGCAAGGATAGGCCTTGCAAAAAAAACCTTTTGTTTCCCGTGCAGGGTTCCTGGACTGCCAAGCCCCCATCATCCACAGCCAGCGGGGGATGATGGGAGTGGTGGCCTTTACTCCCTCTGTGCAGGTCGCTCCGTAGCTCCCACGGGCTACTCTTCTCTTGTCCCCCCCCATTTCCTCTAAAGAATGTAGTCGTCCAGCAAACCTCACCCCCCTATCCCCCCCACTGATCGAACATGGGAAGCCCCGTCCCATTTAGCCCGTGCGTGGCGTTTGCCGGGCCATCGTCGGCTTTGACGATTGGGGGAGCGCGAGGGCGGGCCTTGCGTAGGAGGCCAATGGGGGGTCGGCATGCGGGGAGGCGGGGCTTAGCCGCGGCGGAGGGGGCGGGTTCCGGAAGAATCCAAGATGGCGGAGGCGGAGGCGCCCAGGAGGTTAGAGCGAGTCTCGCTCGCGGGTTTTTTTGGGGGTGGGGTGGGTGGGTGGGCTGCGGCGTATTTGTGGGTGGGGGTCGCCCACCAAGAGGGTTTCTTTCCTTAATAGACTCTGTTTCATCCCTGCTTCATTCTCTTTTGAACTTGGGGCACCCCCCCGCCCCCTCCCCTAATTTCCCCCCTCCCGGTGCCTCAGTTTCCCCTTTGTGTTCTGCGACCCATGTGGCTTTTCCGCCTTCTGAGGCAGCCGTGTCTCTCCCCCCCCCCCCCCCCCCCCCCCCCCCCCCCCCCCCCC